GCGGAGCGGTTGTGTGTGTGGGTGTTTAATTTGTTAAAGGGGGGCCAAAAAAGACCTCCTCAAGGCCCCCCCCCCCCTGGCCGTTGCCCGGGGGGGGGGGATTTGGGACCAGTCCCTCAGAGCCCAGCCTACCTAGCAAATTTATTGTGGGGATGACGCAGAAGAGGGAGTGCTGTCTAAGCAGTTTTGAATGCCTGGAATATCAATTTATAAGCAAGATATTTTCTTCTTGGCCTTGGGAAGTCACATCCTGCCCTGGTGATTCATCCCTCAAACCCTTCGTTCAGGCCACTGTAGGGAGGCGTTTCAGAAACATAACGCATCGCAAGTGTAACCTCTAGACTCTGATCAAGAGCCACTTACATCATGCAACACTTCCTGCATGGCTTTTAGTCACTGCTTTTGCCCTGTAACCTTCTGTATCAACCTGCCTGTGCCTGATTCTTTTTTTATCACTCACTGTTCAATGAACCACCTTTTACAGCAGCTGTGAGCTTCCAGATTTTTTTTAGACCACAACCTCCATCATTCCTGGCTACGCTGACAGTCCAGCAACTGAAAACTGAATCTGTCTGTCTGTCTTTCTTTTCCTTCCTTCCTACCTACCTACCTGTTGTTGAAATACAACAACCAGAAGATATGATGAAGTACAACTAAAAATATAACAGTCCTAATAAAATAAAAAAATATACAGAATAGTGATTAAATGAGTAACATTTGTATAAAATAAAAATATATCCGTAAAGTGTTAATATAGAACTGGCTCAATTTTAACATATGATGAAATCTAGCTATATAGACCATCTATTGTTCCATCTTCTCAGTTTTGGTACAACACAATATTTCAATACAATGATGTTTATGTAATATACTTAGATTCTTAATACAGGTAGTCCCCAGTTTAAGAACGAGTTCTGTTCCCAAGATCTGTCCTTAAGTTGAACTTGTACGTAAGCCGGAACAGTATTATTGTATAATACTGTATAAGTCATATTGTATAATGAACCCAAACCATTGTGTATTTAACTCTAATTTTGCTACAATAGGCTCCATTCTTAACTATGGGTCATCTTGAATATAGAAAAGTGGATATTCTATCAGTGTTAATTAAAGTTTTGGATATTAATGTCACAAGCATTATGATTGTTTGACTTTTAAATAGAACATTGGAAATGAAATGAAAAAATGAAGGAAGAGCATACATCTGAATCTGTCTTACTGAGGGCCATAAAAGGATGTCATTGAAGGTCTTTTGCTGTTCCTGAACTTTGTAAGGTGGGGTAAACTTTTTTTGGAAACATCATAGCTGGCCTTTGAGAAGTGTGCCAAAAGCCAAATTCAAAGGAACCAGGGCGAGACAAAAACTATCCTAGTTTAAGTTGCATTTAAACCAAGGCAATAAATACAAATACCTCTCACATCTTTAATCCTCCTTCCTTTCAGTCATATAAAAACTATAATTTGGTGGCACCTTTCAGAGAAGACACCCCTCCCCCCACATTTAAGGCATTGTGAGTGTACATAGAGACAACCAGGAGCCAGAAAAATCTCTGTACAACCTGGGGTTTCCATAGGGCATTTCTGA